GCGTGGCCGGCCGGGCACGGTGAACGCGTCGGCAAGGCCAAATCCGTAGGACGAGGCGGTCAGCCAGGGTCTCAGCTGAGAAGCAGCCGCGGTGCTACACTGTGTTAGCCGCCTCTCCGCTCTGTTCGCGTTGCGTAAGGGAGCTCAGGTCACCTGCTGCGGCGGTGTCTCCGGCACTGCGTCCACCGAAGCTGTTAGTTCGATTTATTCGGTAGCTAAATTCACCTGGAATAAATCTATCCTTTTGACAAGCTGGATTTCATTCAGTCACTGACCCAAATTAAACCTGTTTTAGATGAGATAAGAAACACAGAAATCTTAAAGGCTGGTTGACGTTTCAGCTGCTGGTAATGGTGCCAGCTGTTGCACCGAGGAAGAGCCGAGTGAGGAGGGCTATAAATACAATGCAAGGAGGAGATCGGCTTAACGCGTGAAATAAACCCAACCGTTCATGATTTTATGCGGTTGCTGCTCCGTTATAACTCATCAGTTTAGGAACCAAGTGAGTTCTCAGCAGCTGAGGGTCCCTAGCAGGGCAGTAACTAAGCCCTGCCTAGTGTCCCCGCGCTGGCTTTGCAAGTTAGAAGATTTTTGAAGCTGAAGAGTAACACTGATAATTTGCATAAAGCAGGAGGAAGCTTAGAGGAAACTTTGTACTTATATTTTTAAGATTTGAGTACTTGCCCTTTGCTTTTAGATTTGGGTGCTTGCTCATGTTCTTTAAACAGATTTAGTTTAGGTGTCAGTATTTTTTTTCAGAAATGGCTCAAGGGAAGACCTTTGGATAGGCTTGGGGCAGAGTTCCGGGCAGCAGGTTTAAGATTTGGTAAATTTGGATTTGGTGTGATAAATGTCTTGCTGCAGGGCCAGTAGTCATGCCACTGTTTTGATAAAAGAGTTCTCAAGTGTGATGGGAACAAAAGTAGTTCAAAAATACTTGGGGGGGGGAGAGTTTATAACTTCTTTTTAATTGCACATAGGACTGCTAACATTACTTAGTAATAATCCTTTTACAACGTGGTAAAATGCTCGTCTCCTGTAAAACTCATCTGTTATTTAAATATAATTAGAAAATGGAACACAAATAACCTGGAAATAGCAGCTATTATGGGCCCAGTCCCGAGCCGGTGGAAATCAGTAGCATATCTGTTAGTTGAGATTGGGAGCAGGCTCTAGAGCTTATTCTGCAAAATTATTTTTTCAAGCAAAATGTACAATTTTCAGTTTTAAAGCACAATGAATGGTGCTTGTTATGTCCCTTATGCCTATTACCTTGAAGCGCTCTTATTTAAGAAGGAACATAAATTATGAAACAACATTTTTTTATGAATTTAATTGCAGTGAAAGATTTAGCACCAAATGTCAAAGTGATAGATTTGTTCTTGTTATGATGTCTTTACTATTAAGCTTTTTTGTGCTAAATTAATCATTGATGTGTCTTTGATTTTAAGTACAAAAACACATAATATTTTTTGCATTCATTTCTATTACATTTTTTCAAGGCTTACCAGGTTTTTGCAAATTTTAAATTGGTAGTATGGTCTTTAAATAATTTTTAGAGTTTTTTAAATGTATATAACTACAGTGTAATTCTGTCTATTTCTTTTTTTCTCAAGTCAGGTTAGTTTCCCCAAAATATTTAATTAGCACAGTTGGTAGGGGTTTCTGGTATTTTTGTATTCTTTCCTGATGATTTTAGTAGCTAACCAAACCAGTTTTTGTGGTATTTGACTAACAATAGTGATAGCAAGAGAAGCACATCACAGATCATTTTGATTTTATTTTAATAAGGTCAGCAATAATCAAGGGAATGAACCAAGTAGAAAATTGTTCCCAAAGGGATATTAAAAGCGCAGATAATCTAATCCCCAAAGGTAGATGCGATGACCTGGTAATTTCAGATATGATTTTATCATTCAAAGTTGCCTGTCTCCAGAGACTTGCTTCAGAACAATCCTAGATGATTTTCATTGTCAGCAGCTAATACTAATAAAATTGTTTTTCCTGCAGGCTAGTGTGTTAGGAAATTAATTTTATCTAATTACATGAATTGCACTGTCGCTTTTCATGTTGTAATTAAAATACATTCTGTCAGGTTCTAAGTCGTTCAAGAAACTATCAGTTTACTATTTTTGTGTTGCGTTTTCTCAGAGAACAGTTCAGAAAAATGCAAAATATGTTTGTCTGGCAAATAAAAACTGTCCAGTGGACAAGAGACGTCGTAACAGATGCCAATACTGCCGATTTCAGAAGTGTCTCAGTGTCGGCATGGTTAAAGAAGGTAAGGACTATTGCTATTATTATCCTAGCCACAGTAATATTACTTTTAATGAATATATGGCTGTGTGCGGACATGGATGTGTTTATGATGAATTTGACAGTGATGGAATCCGTAACTTATTTACCCCCCAAAATGTGCATTTGTGTAATAATATATTAAATTTTTTCTTTTCATCCAGGCAGTAGGGTTATCATATTTAGGCTTTCTGGGATCCCAGAGTTCAAGAACAGCAAGGCCATGGGATGATAATTTGACGCTGGCCAAAATATCATCTTTGCTAACTTTGCACGGGGTTCAATAATGCTGTTGGTTACCATGCATTATCTCAGAGGGGGCTGCTTTTCATCATATCGCACGCTTTTTACGTAGGATCTTGTCTCATTCCCATAAGCTGATTGTAAGTTTGCAATTAAATTAGATGGAAACAGGATAAACTCATTGGTCCCAATTCTGCAAAGGCTTATATATGTGAGTAACATTATGTGAGTAGTCCCATTGCAACTACTAGCATGGATAATATGACCTCTATAGTGTGACCATATTTTTCAAATGCTTTAAGAAAGCTAGAATTACTCTGAATGAATGATTCTTCCATATAAAATGTGTATGAGTAGTACTAACATGAAGATTTGTGTTTCATACTCAGTTTTCTGTCAGCAGTAGAGGGTCTGTGTGCGCGCACGTGAGCACGTGTATACAGGTACATAGGCATTTACTGAAAACAAAGCAGGAGCACTAGGAACACAGCTGGGTTTTAAGCAAGCAGTTACATTGCTGCTTATCCTCATAAGGCTGACGTAATTTTGGTATCATCTGTATTTCTTTGCATTTAAAGGTACCACTAGCATGTATTGAAATTGAGTTCTCTTTTTCTTTTTTTTCTTTTTTTCTTCTTTTTTTTTTTTTTTTTGCTGGGCTGGCCATCGTAAGAAAAGCAGGTGTTCATTCGGCTCTTTAGTTTGCTGATGCCTTTGCGACTGATTCCCTTCCTTTTTCCTTAGTTGTCCGTACCGACAGCCTGAAAGGGAGAAGAGGTCGGCTGCCTTCCAAACCAAAGAGCCCCTTGCAGCAGGAACCCTCGCAGCCCTCGCCGCCTTCTCCTCCCGTCAGCATGATGAACGCCCTCGTACGAGCTTTAACTGACTCCACACCCAGGGAGCTTGACTACTCAAGAGTATGTCTCACTTCTCTTTCGTTCTTTGTTTTCTGCCTAGAAATGATTTGTGAGCTGCATTTCCATTTAACAGCCAGTTTGCTAAAATGAAAATAAATGTAGAATTTGGATGAGAGTAGAAATTTAGCCAGCCAGCCATGTCCATTCTGAGTAGGTGGACAATGACAGAAAGGAGGTGAGCTAGAAAGTCAATGTTAGTGGCTATTCATTGTGAGCATCTCAAAGATAAGTTTCATTACAATATACTCCATGGGCGAGTGAATGTAAGAATGTGCGGATAAACAGAGCACTCTTCTTGCAAGAGGCTTTACCCAAAACACTATCAATTACAATACAGTTGCTTAATCCACCAAACTCAGGAGTGAGAGCTACTTGTCCAGTGTCTCAGTTTCCAGACTGTAAAGGCTAAAACCTAGTAGCGCTTTTCTGGTATTCAAATGCAAGGGTTGTGTGAAGTAATACTGGGTCATTGCAGCAAAGGGGCTATCTAGAACTCATTTCTATTGAAATCAGTGGGAATTTTACCATTTTTTAAAATGGGAATAGAGTCTGGCTTTGGACACCCCAGCATGGATATTTCTCAAGTAACATTCATATTTGTGAAACAAATCTTGAAGTTGAAATTCTAAAAAATTAAATCAGCAAAGCCATATCAGAGATTATATATTTTTGTACCCTTGTTCTTTAATGTGGTATATTCACCAGTTAAATATTGATAGATTGTTTTGCAAGCTTATAAATCTGTTCTGTAGTTATTAAAATATAATGCTGAAGTAGCTTGTTAAATATATATATTTTAGATAGGTTGATATATGAAAAGAAAAAATACAGCTAAGGAAAAACATGATCAGATTACTTACTCTTTATGAAAAATGATTAAATCTCAGCTGTACTAAGACAACATCTACACTGGCAGTTTATCCCCTGTTGCTAAGTAATATTAAATAATTAAATCTTTTTTATTATAATTATATAAAAATGATTTAGTTCTATTTTAAAATGTATTTACATATATCACTTAGCAATTACAAGCATTCTGGAAACATTTTCTTCAAGCTAGTCTGTAAGTATACAGTCATACAATTTTACAAGTTATTACGAAGAGTATAATTTATTACTACCTGACCGCCCATGTTTACAGCTATTTTAACTTACCCAAAATGTCTCAGGGGGTCATTCTACAAATACCTAGGTATGTGACTAACTGCCCTCTTTGGCAGTAATCTGCTGTATTCCACAGAATTACTTGAGTATAACAGCCCAGTGCAGGAAAGCAGTATGTAACCATATGTGTTTATGTATATGTATAGATGTAGAGCTCTTTTGCATTTACAAAAAAAAACTAAATGAAAGCTATGTATTTTCGTGTGACTTTTTTCTTCATCCTACAGTAATTATTTCTCTTAATAAAACAGCTTGTAGATCTAAGTAGTTAACAGTTCTGTGGAGCATTACAGGAAGCATATGACTGACGGTAAACTAATTTAGACTTAGTATCTAAAAGATTATGTATGAATGGCTGTTGAGTCATCTTAAAGTCTAAGTTTGTGTGTGTGTGTGTGTTTTTTTTTTTACTAGAATAAAAGATATAATACTCTGCTGGGCTCAGCAGTACTGAAAATACAAAAATGTACTAAAATAAAATAATAGATTGCTAGGCTTTTAATGAATCTTGTGCTTGTTTTAAAAAGTATAGGGAGATCAGGATAAGCTGAATAATAGGTAAAAATTGATATTAACTAAATAACATATGCAGCAAATGCACTGTAATGCTGAAATCAGTGTGAAGAATCCTATACCTGTAAAGACTAAATAAAGGTACATTTGGATGGGCTGTGACCCTGCAGCGCAGCACAAATCGGTAGATCTGGGAACCTGGCTTTGCAGTCAGGACCGTAGTGTTTGGAATGGTCTTCGTGTTTATACCTCGCAATGTTTTCTCGACCGTCATAAAAATACCGATAAGAGTTTCAGAGAGGAATGTATACTCGTTCCCTCCAAAAAAACCCAACGACCTACCCAAAGAAATCCTAAAATAAATTGCATATCCTCAGAATTTTAAAACAAAACACATTGGGACTAGCTCTGTTCAGAACATAGCTACTCTTCCTTTCAGCATTGGTTTTAATTTACCAGTCCACAGCAATGGTATATTTAGGTATTTGGTTTCAAAAATTACTAGGAAGAGAATTTGGTTTATGAACTCTTTAAAGGCCACGGGCTATAGTCGGGTCTCACAGCTGTTTCACTGGTACAATTCCATGCGTTTAGACTTCCAACTAAGTGCGATGAGAACCAGACCTTGTACCTTGCAGTCCTTTTTCGGGCAGAGTAGCCACCGACTTCAATAGAAATGTTGCCTTTTGGAGGGAGAGTGCAGCATTTAGGTAACGGTTTGCCTCCTTCCCACAGCCCCCAAGCCAGAAATTAAGCAAATATCAGGGTTTCTGACAAAGGAAGGGGAAATGCATTGAAAAACAAGCAGAGCCTCTCCTCAAAGACTGCAGAGAAGTTATTTTTATGCTTTTGCAGCTATCGCGTTTTACAAAGGACTGATAAAAGCAGGCAAGAGTGGAGCTAGATTGTACTATCATTCTCCCCAACATCAGGCTCTTAGAAGCTCTTTAAATATACCATATAAATTAATGTTGCTTCCTACATATGGAACTGCTCCTTGAGAAAAAGCCGGACATCCTTTAATTCCTAAAGGAGCTCTGAGCAAGGGAACAAAGGAGAGCTTTGTCTCCTGGCTTTCTCCCAGAGTGCCTCCGGTTTGCATGGGCAGGTTAAGAATAACCCTCCTGTACTGAGGCCTCTTGACCAAGGCCAGACTTATCAGCTGTCTAGTTCAGAAGTTAGGTGAAATATCAGTTCTTTTTAATGAAATAATCATGAAAAAAATCATAGATTTTGTGCCTAAGACATTCACGCTATGGCTACTTACGTACTTGTAAGTCTGTTACAAGTAAACATTTCAGCTAGTCTTTGTAAGTGCTAACTTCTTCTAGCAAGCAGTGACATATCTCAGCAGTTAAACAAATTATTAATTCTGTATAATTTTTACTCTTCTGCCAAAAATGCTCTCATGGGCTAAACTATAACAACAAATACAGGATACGTGTTTCTTTTTTTTTCAGATGCATTCAATTTAATTAAATGTCCCAGATGGGTTGTTTTTTTTTTTTTTTTCAGATGCATTCAATTTAATTAAATGTCCCACATGGGTTATACTGTACTATAGTATTCACAGTCATGTGATAGAATGCAGCATTCGGCTTAGTTAGAAAATGTTAAAATTTTGTATTACTATCACCAAAAGAATGTTTTATAAATATTGGGAACAAATTAATCTCTGGCATAATTACACTGACTTGTGGTGAGTTCCATCTCGGTTGAGTTTAGAGTGTTATCTTCTTCTTTTCTTCCTCTTTTCCTTCCTTTTCACTGATCCTCTGATCAAGAATATACCGCACCTTAGCAGTTGCTGTGGATGAGGCAAGAGCTCCCATCAGCCTATGCCATCTGCCTTTATAGAAAGAAGGAGCTAGAGCTCAGCCCCTGCACGGAGAAGCAGATCCCCCAGAGCCCTCAGGACCTGATGGCCATGAATGGGAAAAGCCCATCCCCTCACGCTGACACAGTCTTAGCTTTCTCCACAGCTTCAGTTATAAGAGGGTCCAGAACATGCAGGGGCTCTGCGAAAGCATGCAGTCTTTTTCTGCCCTCTAGTCACCACCGTGCTCCCAGTGGCTGGAGTAGTATTTCATATTGCTCAAGCATCCTCCTGCATCATTCAGATGAAGGACTAAACACGTAACAGTGCAGCATATACATTTTCCACTGCGGCTCTCCACCCTCTCTATATTTTTGCCTCCAATTGCTTCACAGTCACAGGATCCTTCCAAGTAGCTGGAGCAGAATTTGTCCCCGAATGAACTTCATCAGAGGGACTGCATGTGTTTCACTAGCTGACTAGAGAAGGTAGCTAGCAGCGCCCTGTAGGAAATTCATTTCGTTAGTGTTGGGGTAAACGGAACAGATTCATTCAGGGCTAGCACTGACAACCCAGATATGGCCAGGGATTTCTAGGATTTCTAAGGGCTTTACTACGGCTTTCCAATCAATCAGTGTCTCTGACACTCTTTACTTTATGCCTTCCCCACCAGCAGTTTTTCAGTGGCAGGCAATGAATAAGGCATCCGCCCCAGAGGGTCTCTTTACAGTTCTCCCCTCTTCTCCCTGCACAGAGGTGACTTCTGCGTTGCAGTAAGCAACCTAGGTGAGATGTGCAGCAGAGGTGGCATGTGTGTAAGAAGGGGCTTCCAGCACACTCTTACTGATTTTGAAAGAGACATGAGTCTTTCTGCTTCCACACCTGAGTGGGTGGCTAAGGACACTTTCAGGCTAATGGCCTCAGCCCCTAACTGCGTATAGAGAGTGGTTTTCAAAGGGTGTGCATGCTAATTCCAACTATGGAAACCTCCCCAACCTCTTCTTGGCTGAGTGTCCCGGAGAGAGAGTTTGTATAAAGTCTCTCCCAGAAATAACCCACAAGAAGCCTGATGGGGAGGGGGTTGGTACAACAAACGCCGAACTATTCAGTTCCTGCTCAGAAAACCAGCAGCACTTTTCAAGCACAGAATCAGGCAAAGTCATAAAGCTCCTGTTATTTTTTCTGCCGGAGAGAGGGAGAGAGTACTGTGGGATCCACTGGCAGGGAAGGAGGAGATAGCAGCAAGGGAGCTGTCAAAGGGTCATGGGGAAGTTAAGCAAGCTGATGCTGTCGAATGGTTGTCTGGAAGAGTTATGGCCACATCAACAACATAATAGGTTCTCCAGAACCTTAAATGCTCCTATCTGAAGGATGAGAGGTGGTTTGGGGCAGCTGTTTTACTTTGAACCAATTTTATATTTAAATGAAGTGATGCTGCATGTGTCAGATAAAAGATGATTGCTCTTACACGTCTCTATCACTGTCAGATAAAGTGCGGTTTGAGAGGTTTTGGAAGAAATCTGCATTTTGGACATACTGAGACAAAGTCATCAATGGGAAAACTGTTTAACTGTAGTAAGTTAAATAGTATTCTTCTATTGTTTTAGAAATCACCCTATCCACCAGATTTCCTTTCTATTTATTAATAGTATATAGGTAGTTGTGAAATGTGATAATTTGTGAAGGCTTTCTGTACATGTAGAAATATTTGGTGATACACATCTGAATAGCAAAATGCCTATAGATAGGTAAATGGGTAGATAGATTTAGACCTATGTATTATGGATAACAATACCAGTTTTGCCACAGAGGGAAATGTTGCCGGTTAGATAACACTGTATGTTTCAGAGCATGCCCTAACCTGCTCATAAAATTGCTGTCTGTGTCTTTCCTTGCAGTACTGTTCCACCGATCAGGCTGCTGCAGGCACAGATGCAGAGCATGTCCAGCAGTTCTATAACCTTCTGACTGCCTCCATTGACATATCGAGAGGCTGGGCGGAAAGAATCCCAGGATTTACTGACCTCCCAAAAGAAGATCAGACGTTACTCATAGAGTCAGCTTTTTTGGAGCTGTTTGTGCTAAGACTCTCCATCAGGTAACTATTTATTTAATTTCCTCTTAAGCTGATGTGAAAGGTCATCCATCTAAATGTTTTTAAGGAATAAATATGGCAGTATGTTTGAACATCCTTTTCTTTTTTAAGAAAAAAACCAAGGACATGAAACAGCAGTAAAGTCTGCATCCACAAAAGACGGTATTTCATTTGTGCTACACTGCAGAAAAAAATAATGAAAACATTTAAAAACAGAGCATAGTTCTCACTAATGTGGTTCTTTTCATTTGATATACCACATCCTCTTTTTCCGCATCAATCAAAATTGATCCTCAGGTACTATTTCAGCAAGGTTGCTTCATAGTCATCAGTATAAACTGCAGAAAAGCACCTTTAATATAAAAGCTTTTTCTTTTTTCCCTTTTCCTTTAGCACATGCACATCTTTATAGTCTGTTTTTGAAAGGGATAAAGACGCTTTAAAATCTTGTTCAGATTGGTTTTTTTTTTTTTGTAATAGCAAGTCATTTAATAGAGTGAGATGCCGTTTGTCAGTCTGGCACTAATTTGGACATTTTACCAAAGACACTTTCAGGGACTGGGGAAATTCCAACCTGGAGAACTGAATTATGCCCTTGTTTCTCCAGGTTGAAAATGACGTTTACATGCTGCTTTTTGCAGGGATATTGCAGTAGGGGAGGAAGGAGGGGAGAGCTTGGCTGTGATATCGTTTTCACACACAGGTTTTCACAAAGACAACTATGTTATGTTCTGTGCATTGGTGTGCATTATCGTACATATTTTCCATTGTTTTTTCTTTATCAGTTTTTACAATAGGAAAAATGCAGATAAAACTAAATAAATGCTGAGAGTTGCAGGATCTCTTCTTTCTCTAGTTATTATTAGTTTTGTATTTCAAAATGCAAGCACTTAGTATTCCTCTGGTTCAAACATACAGTATTTAATGTAAAATGTCTCCTCTGTTTATGCCTTTGGGCAGGACCAAAATCTTAACTAATTAGACAGTCTACACCACATGCTACAGTTAACCTCAGGCTTATAACTCTACAAAGTAAGCAATCATAGAAGCTTGTTTGTTGTACTTCTGCCCCAAGGGAGAAGCATATTGTCAAATGTGAATGCCCACATATGTCTCAGGATAATATGCACTGGATTTTAAATGACAGATACTTCAGTACTGGTTATGCATTTTACTGTAAAGTAGAAGATGCATTCACAATTTTTTCAACTATTTCTATTTGAGGTCTGATACTGCTGAGGATAAGTTTGTATTCTGCAATGGACTTGTGCTTCATAGACTTCAGTGCCTTCGTGGATTTGGGGAGTGGCTCGACTCTATTAAAGACTTTTCCTTAAACTTAAAGAGCCTTAACCTTGATATCCCAGCCTTAGCAAGTTTATCAGCTCTAACTATGATTACAGGTAAGTGCTCCTTTGATAATAGAAATCTTCAGATTCTAGTGCTTTGTTTTAATGTGGATTCAATCAACCTCAATTAGCTTGGCTATATTCCAGGTAAAGTGGCTATGATTTTTAAGCATTGTAATGACCATACTGAAATTGTGAACTGTAACGTAGGCCCTCAGAAACACCTATTAAAATGTAATCTAAGTCTCTCTTTCACCATGGTTTCATTTTTTTCTTGGAATAGGCTCTAAAAAGCAAACTGCCTCTAACCAAATTGTGTAGCTCCTAGGAAAGCATTCAAAATGCTTGCTGAATTCACAGAAAAGCCTAATGAAATGACGAGGACTAAGTCTTCTGTGTAGAAGTGCTAATACCAGGGTAGCTCAAGAGCTGGAAACCATACAGCTAGTGTAGCCTGCCTCTCAGTGAGATAGCTAGATCAGAGAGAGTGCTGCACAAGGGCAGTGCGCTGCTTTTGGTACCAAAGCTACTAGAGATACTTCATAGGACTGCGTTTTTTGAGAGAAAAAACTGGAGAATAGGAAGAAAAAGGAATTTTTACGCAGTTTTACAAAAACTTTTGGGTGTGTACGTGACCATTTCACCCTTTCTGCCTGACGGGCCAAACAGCAGGAAACTGATGTAAGAATCTGCCAAACCTGCTAGTAAGTTCAAAACAGGGGAGCCTGAACTTTATAAAATGTAATTTCCTCATTCCTGAAACAACAAAAGCCCCTTGAAGTGCCCACTGCATACCTTGGGCTTTTGGTAATTTAGGAGGCAAGGCCACCTGAGGCAGCCACGGAGCCAGAGCTGGGAGTAAGGGCGTCTGATAATTCATGCAAATACAGCAGGACTGAGCGCAGCAGACCGCTCCTGAAAGCCCCGCACGCGTTTCAGAAAAGATGGTGATGTAGAGGTGCAGCTGGGTCATTGGGGTGAGAAAGTGCTCCGGCGTGCCTTGAGCTGAACCTTCCCGAGGATGCCTTAAGCTCCCCTGGGACAGGAATTGATTTCCTCCCATATCTCAGGCATCCGTCAGTCTGCAGGCGGTAGCCTCAACGATACCAGCTGCAGTCTTCATTCTGCCTAGAATGAGATGATGCTTGGGAAACGCTGAGGGAAAACACTCAATGGTAAATATAAAAACTATAAGGCACCCAATTCCTGCTCACATTTGTGGGGCCAAGATTTTGGCTTCAGCTCTTGCATGGTACGCTTGCTTCCTGCACTTGGGCGAAGGGTTAGTTTGTGCTTGTTCTAGCTTTAACTCTCTTTTTCTTCTGAAAAGTAATTTCAACTTTTCAATTAAATTATGTTCATTTTCCTGTGCTTGGGAAGCATTAAGGGCCAGATTTTAGTGTAATTGATACAACTCTTAAGTCCAGAATAACTCAGTGGAGTTACTTTGTTTTACCTGAAAAAATCCAAAATGAATGATGTGTTAAAGTGAGAAAGAGCATTCCTGGGTCATTTTTGACTCCTCTGTATCATATATATATATATATATATTCACACAGAAGTTTATATGTTCATACATATATACATATATTTTACACACACACATACATAGAGAGAGAGAGATATATAGCACCTGTCCTTGATTTAGGTTGTTGACTGTACGTTATCCAGATAGATGCAGTAGATGGAGCTGAGGGGATATAGGTAGAGGAACAGGATATCATGCAAACTGTATAGATGAATGTAGGAAAAACTATTCTATGTGAAGAAAATTTTTTCTCCTTACAAACCCATGCCATATTTCAACATGATAGTTTTTGTTCATTCAGACTCTGTTTGGCTGTCCTTACATAAAGAGTTAAAGTTGTCCAGCGGCTGGCTCAGATCACCCTAAATATTTAATGGAAACATCTTTTAATTAATAGACCCTCACATTTCCTCCTTTTAGTGCTAGTAATCCTTTCAGGGGCTTGCTATATTGTGCTGGTCTTCCCAAAGTTTCCAAACAAATCTAAGTAACTGTTACCTTTAGAAGGAGAGCATTTCTGTCCCTAACAGCTTTAGCGAGGGTTGTATTTGTCAAGCTTTTCTTGCTTTTTTCACCTGTGCTTAAAAAATAATGTGGTTTTCTCTTTATTCTTTTATTTCATGATTTTAGTGCATCTCTGCTCATTTGCTCGTAGGTACATAGGGCCACCTTCATGCTGTCTGAACTAGACCAAAGCTTCTGCGTCTAGTGATTTGTATTCACAGGTTTCAGATCCCTAAAGGCACCTAGGTAATTTAGGGACTCAGACAGAAATTTGGCCACCTGAAAAATGGATCACAAACAAAATCAAAAAAACTTGAAAGAGGAAATCAGATAATTGTGGCTAAGATGGGATTATAGCACAAAATGCTGCTTTTTTTAATTTTGAGAACTTCTCAGTGATAGTATATGGAAATGTTTATAATCAGGAAAGCCTTGAGATGTACCTCTGGTATCACATCCCTTGAGAAACGGCTTCCTGTCTTTCCCCTACATTTTAAGTATGACAAGGCATGTGCTGGTTTTCGGATAGTCCCAATGAAAGGGAACAAAATAATGAAGATAAATTTAGGAATTCTGAAATTTCTTGGACATTTTAAAGCAATTGTTTTGAGTCTTGTCTTAGATTTAGGTGGATGCTTAGGCTCTGTTCTTTATCCTATATAGGAGGTACTCTCTGTCTCCTGTAATGGGCTGTTGAAGGTAGTAGGTAGGATGGAAACCCCCGTTCAAGTCCTTCTTCTGAGTCAGAGCAAGAATGATCTTTCCCAGGAGCGCAGGCTATCTGGCTGTTGTGCATCACTGTCTTTCCTGTTGTGACCGTTTGACATCTTTCCTGGGCCACAGAATAGCTGTTACTTATGATGATCTGGGGACAAACTAGTGCCCGGAGAGACATCTGAGGTCCGATCTCTGGTCTGAATCTAACAAGAAGAGAATTTTATCGTGATTCTCCCATGTCCCAGTTGAATCATTGGGCTGCAAGGTCATTGGGCTGCAAGTTACGAAGGAGCAGGAAAGCTTTATGAATCTAGCTGCTCTTGCTTTTGTTAGAAACACTGCAGAACAAAAGTACTGGATCAAGCAAAATTCTCTTCTCTATTACACAAATTGCTTCATTTCTTATCTTGGATCAGTCTGTCTTTTTATGATTTGATGATCCAATGAAAAAAGAAAAATAAGGAACAATTCAGTGATGGGTTGGTTATAGCTTGTTTCAATACTGTACGTGGTCTCAGGTAGCACCAAATGGAAGAATATTTCTCCAAGTAAAGAGAAATGCTCCTGGGAATAACGAACTGCTCGTTCTTCTCAATTATTTCATGAGTGCTCTCCATAGCCCGAACAAAGAAGGACTTTTAGAAAACAAACCTCCTCGCACACTAGTACACTCCCACCATTGTTGAAGGCTAAAAGATACTCTGCTGCTCTGTGTCCCAAGATACCAAAGGCTGTTGTCCCATTTTATGATGCCCAGTGGGCTCCCCAGTACCAACCCAGTTGTTCCAATGCCTTCTCACTAACCCTGCTGACCTGTGGAAGGCTCCATGTCCTATCTCAACCACAGCTGCAAGTCACAGCATAGACTGCATGGCTATAGACGTATACAACCATTCACTCCTGTCAATAATTTTGCAGAGCGCAGCAGAAGACTGAGTGAGTATCCCGTATATTACTCATTCACTGCTTGCTTTGATTAAAGCTAAATGTATGCATGCGTAAAATAATTAGGAATATATTTTGTAATATTTTCCAATACGTAATTCATTTTAGAACCCATATATTTGTGGGTTTTTTTCTGTTTGTTTGATGCTTCCTTGGAATTTGCAGTATGTTGCATAGAAGGAAAAGGGTTGTGTTGGAGTGCTGCTGAATTTACAAGTGACTTCTGATAAGACATAAGCTTGAAAGCACTCAGAACGAAAGAACTGACATCTGGTTTATTGTGGGTGGCTTGCAAACAGTTAACTTAAAACTCTTCAATGTCAAAGCATGTCTTTTTTATTTAAGGTACTCCCTTAGGATCTTCCTCTCTCTGTCTCTCTTCTCCTTTTTTACTTCCTTCAGTTGGTTAAGAAGGGCTGGACACAACTTCCTCCAGAGCACATCAGCAGTGCTCTGAGTATCATCCAGAAGAGAGTGATCAGAAAACAATATAAGACACACACCCCACATCCCCATGAAAGCAAGAAATAAGTTCTGTCCCATTCTTTCTCTTTTGCACCACTTATTCTGTGGGGATGTAGGATCTAAGGAGCTAAGGAAAAAAAAATGTTGGTCATCTAGGGACAGGTTCTATCCTTAGTTTTGCATCGACAATTTCTATGAGTTCAGTGTGTTGTAAAGATCACAAGTGTTCTTGTACAACTGCTCCATGCCGTAGTTTCTCTAATCCCTACAAAATTTTGATGACAAAACTTTGCAGTGTAGACCAGAACTTAATTCAGACTATCTTTTAAAATACTGCATCAGCCTCTTGAATGACCATTTATAATGAATGCTCTGTTTTAATAATTATTCCAACAATGTCAAAATGCATTGATTGATATATAGATTGAAATTACAGTGAAGATTGTGTAAAGAACACAGTCTAATTTAGTTTCAAATTTCTGCCTACTCTGAAACTGCTAGTGCTTTCTTTCTCTGTCTTGTTCACTCTCTTTTACTCTCTGCCTCTTCCTTTCTGTATCCACGTCACAGTATTATTGTTTTGACCACTTGTCACTCTCAGTGGGACGCTGCTGAGTACAGAGCATTCTAGCCCTCATCCAGCCAAGCTCTTTTGGCATATGTTTTATTTTAAGTGTTTTGCAGACCAGCCCAGAGCCACTGTATATATTGGGCTTACTCACACTTCTAATGCTTTGTTAGACTGGCATTAGAACATGGAATAATATTGTGAGGTTTCAATTAATTATGAGTTTCGGTTTGTCCTCCTGCTGTAGGCCTTTCCATTCCAGTTTAGAAACGAAGTTTTTAGCAGCATCAGTCATGCCAAGAAATAGTAATGAGTCCAGTCTGGTTAGTAGGGTCTGGCTGCTGCAGCAGTTCCCATCTAAGCACGGATTTGTCCAACTTGCCTGTGGAAGGGAGGCTCGCTGCTCTTCAGCTGTATATATCCTTCAGTCCTGTTGCCAGGATCCTCCAGAACGGCTGCTTCATGTGCTGGGTCTACACATGGGCAGGTGGCAGACTGGAGGAGTGTAGGAGTGCCAGTTATAAAAAAAAATCTCCAGATTGCATTGTCTGCCGTCCCCCCTCCACTTTGCTGAGGGGAATACTGTCAGCAGGAGAGTGAAGTACTCACTCCTCCTCATCCTTTCCTACTCTTTTGCTGAGGCAACACCTCTTTCCTTCTACAGCAACCCATGGCCTCTGTGTTATGTTGTGATTTTCTTAAAGGAAGGGGCAAGCTCTGATATCCTGTGTGGTCTGGAGTCCCATATTCAGCCCATCTGGCTTTATGTACCTCATAAAGTCAATGGAGAAATATAAGGCACCTCCAGAAGATGATTCACCCACTTAAGATCTGATTCATCTTCTAAAAATGCATATTTCTCCACTGATGTTAGAGGAAACCTGAGAAGTCTGTGCTCTTAACTTGGGCACCCTCTTGAAGTGCCTGAAAGTTAGGCAGGACGAATATGGGCCAGACCGCACCAGAAAAGGACACTCTTGGATCTGTCATGTCTCAATCTTGCTGTGTAACAAGGTGTGCACAAGGCAACCTACAGAAAGAGGTAGGCAACTAAGCCTTGCATGTATTTAAGTTATAGAAGGGGAAGAGGACTGTGAAGGGGGAAGAGAAAATCAGATAATTACATTGAAACCGAGACAATCAAGAGACTCATTTTAAGTCAGCAGCATAAATCTATTGCATTTCTGATCAGACTGTTTTTGACACCTCACGATTAATTAAGGCTAAACCTGACCCACCCAGACAGAGCACAGAGCCTAAGGGTCAGTGAGATACTTAGGGGCTTTGAAATACACTCTTTGAGAATGGTGTGCTTCATAAAGGTAGCAGCACTGAATCTGCCCAGCCCGGCCATAATCTGCCCCATGTTGAGCTCAGCTGGTGCTTGGTTTTCCTGCTCTTGCTATCAAGTTTTTACTGATCAGCATAATTATAGCACAGAAATCACCTCGAGATTCCTGGAAATGATGTGTAGGTAAAGGAGAGAGTTGTAAAAAAAACTTACTGTGTTTGGTTTGCCAGAATGAGCTGCTAAGTTTGTGGAGCTTTAGAGGCAAGACTTCCAATGAATTATTTTGACAGGCTTATGGAGAGCATCATTGCCATAAATCACCATTTTTCTTGCAAAAATCGATGTTATCCCATAACACAAAGCTGAAAAATCTCATAGTCACTTTACCTGCACCTCTTTAGTTGCCATTGTAAGAAAGACTGAAGACGATAATAATGTTTATACACCTCCTCAATCAGTTAGAGGAAATATATTGCTTTTGACTAGCTGTCCTTCTTGAGACTGTTCAGAGATAGTGCCCCTACTTGGCACAAGTGCCTCATTCTGCTCCCTTCAGGGTGAGTGGCTGTACGGAGTCCAGGTCTTTCTTTAGGGCTTTCTGAGCAAGACTCGTTATGTGGAAAAGGCAAGAAAATGTGTTTCCTGCTATTTGAGCCCTAACTATTAAACTACAATCTTTGACGTAAGCTAGATCCAAGACTCCTCAAGTCTATCTTATGAAGGAGCTGTTCACTATAGCAGTACATTCTCCAGGAGCTAGTTGGATACCAGCTTCCAGAGACTGTGATGGAGGCACCAGTGCAAACAGTGTCGTTTACTAGCAGAAAGGCTTCCAAAGAGGGCTTTGACTCTCTCTGGGTCCACAGGATTCAAAGGTTGCCTTAATGATTGGGGTAAGGGAGACTGAAACCCTCTTCCTTCCAGTGAAGCAGTTTCAGCTGTGAGAAATTACCTTCACAGGTATTTGCAAGTAGCAAATGCCATCCCCATGCTATGGCATTTCACGCAGGGGAAGACACTGTTTTTTCAGAGTGCTTTAATATTGTAGCACCAGAGAGCAGATTAAGGATGGAGTATGTCTTAATCCTGAATTTCCTTCATTTTTTTATTTAAAGTAAGGCTACTAACACTATAATTTTTGCATATATTGTATTTTCATCTGCATATTTCATGGCTAGCCACCTAAGAAACAATTTGTTCATGAAACCTTTTGAACTTGCCAATGTAAGACAAAGACTGCTTAGTTCTGACTTGAAATGTTAACGACATTGCTGTGCGCTCAAGGGCTAGAGATAATTTTCCGTATTCTGCAGTAATGCACACACCTACTGAGACATTGGTTTAAAAATCTGCTCTGCTAATTTAAAGTAAGTTTTTGGACCCATTCTAGTGTTTCAGCTCTCCAGATCTATAAAGGTATCTTTGCTTACACAGCCAGGAACAACCTCAAAACAATATAAAAGACGGGAACTCTTAAAAGACTGCGAGATTGATCTGGTGTCCTGCAGACTCACCCAGAAGCCTAGTGGTAAAATATCCCTACAGTTTTTCAAAATTTGTATAAAATATTTATCACTTCAAGGTTTTTAATGACAAAATCTGCTTAAGTATTTACTTTCAGTGACCTGTATAGTTAAGGCTTACATAATTACACTGTACACAATTTACTGGAAAGGCTTTAAATATTTCTTGACATGTTTTAATGTAAACAAGGCACTTAGAATACCTAGTTTCTTTAATTCCTTCAAGGTGAAGAAGATGTCTGAGGCAGATGTTACTGCCTGGATGTGTGTTGCTCTGCAGCAACAGGACAGTACGGGGTAGTACTAAATGGCAGAATACGGTAGCTTCTGGCCAGAAATTTACAGATCTGCAGTCAGATTTACATACAGTACTCTGTAGGAGCTAGCTCTGTGTAAGTCAACCAAGTTGCAGACGTGTCAGATGAGTGGAAATCAGTGGAGAACCTGACCTTTACGTTTCTGATTGCGCTCATTGGCTCCCACCTGGCTTATTAGTGTTTCAAGAACATCAACCGACCCAGCTGGTAACAGGAGGTACAGAGGAGTTTTCATGCATGTGCCTGCGCCGTGGAGGCACCGTTACGCATGGCACAGGCATTATGCCTGCTTCTCGGAGTAAAGAAAACTGTTCTTTACTGTTTGTTAGGGGGATGGACAAGAGAAAGTACCTGTTGCCAGCTCCTCCTGGAATAAAGAGGAGTAAGACTTGGGGAGATGTGGCTGACAGTGGTGGGGAGGAGGGCTGGGGAAGACAGACAGCTTCAAGCGCATCAGACATAAGAACTCCAACAATAACTCACTCCTTGTCTCCAGCCGTCGCTAGTTTTCCACATCTAGCTGATTAAAGTTAATTTGATCTGCGTTTTCTTAGACTGCCCTATCTGGTATAATTCTTTTTCACGTGCAAATGATTATGGCTTTTCTATGAAGCCAGTTATTACTTATCTGTGAATTTCAGAGTCAAAGACAAATGAAAATGCCACAAAAGTATTTGAGGTTATTGTTCAGAAATGTTGCATTAATTTATCCA